ACACTTCCTACTGTTCATTAGCAGCTAAAAATTTCCGGCAGGAACCGCTGATTTCATTTTATGAATACTGTGCGGCTGCGGATGACAGATTTCAGTCAGGCTTAAAGAAGCTTGTATTTCACGCTGTTAACGCCATTGCAATCCATAATACATTTCCTCTAAATTATCTTCCAAATGTAAGCGTCAGCCACAGCTAGGTAGGCTACAACACTGACAAGTGAGCTACAGTTGTCCGTTTTTGTTTGCTAAATGGTAGACATTTGCGCGTTATACCTCCAAACGACTGTCTTTCTTCTAACGACCCTAAGGACCACCCTGGCATCAGCTAGAACAACCTATCAAGTTCATCCACCTAATGAAGATCTGCCTTTCCAGCCGGGGTGCAGAAAACTACTTGATTGTTTCGCCTGCTCCCAGGGTGGCTTTTGAGATCGCTTTCCAGTTCAGGTAATATGGATCTCGCCGTTTTATTAATCTGGAGGGATCTATAGCTGATTTCAGTGCGATGCCTTCTAGTAGCAAAGCATCTAAAGGTCGGTAGCATACTGTTAACGGTACTTCAATGATAATTAAAGTTAAATGCATAATATTTTGTCGTAATTCTTATATAACCGTACTCGTAGATGGAAGAAAACCTCTGCCTATCAGAAGTGCTCGGCCCAGCATGAATACGGGAGCAATGCCTCCGAATTTAATACTTGTCTGGCCAGCCCTTTTTCGTTTCTTGGCCTGGTAAAAACGGATTCGGTTCTTTGGTGGACTCCGGGCACCGGACGGTCATTCCGTCCTAGCGTAGGACTCCTCAGCATTTGCATGCATGATCTCTACCCGTCAAAGGTCAGACGTCTGACCTTCAGGCGGCTAGCTTCGGTAGGCAAGTCCCTAAGTTCCAGCGAGACGTCATGACCAGTAGAGTCAGCCAAGTCGAATGTGGGGACAATTACCCAACGGTGACATTGAACGTAGGCCGTGCTGTGTCGTGGGCTGACAGAAGTAAAAAATGTGGACCACTGGATTCTGACTCGGTGGCCCAGTGGTAACGTGCTGGCCGTAGAAACTGAAGGTCCTTGGTTCGATCCGTGATACGTCGCGGGTGCGCACTGCTGAGGGGTTCCATACTGGGAAGAAACAGCTGCCCAGTGCTCCCATGTTTTCGATGGTCCTCTAACTGATGGTCTCCTGCGATCGATTCCAACACAGAAGTCCTAACTGATTCCCAATCAGTGGAGAAAGCGCGATGAACGTGTAGAAAGTTTTATCGAGGTGCAAAGACCAAAGATCGAAAACGAAGGGGAACATACCTAAAACATAGATAGTTACCTGTTTAAGGTAGTAATATTGATTGGCTGATCCACTGTCTGCCCGTCTAATTATCAGTGTGATCACATAAAGTGCGCTTTGATTAGTCCATCTCCAGACTGCGCCTTTCTCCCCATCCCCATATCACCTGCACGTAATGTGGACCCTATCTCCGGTCGGTAAATCTGTGTGCCAGGTTAGCTGATTACTCCTATGCCCTTGCTAACGGAATCTTTGCCCAAAAAACCACATGTCCTTCTGCCAAAAATTATATTCAAGTCTGAATTCGAACCTATAATACTACGCAGATGGAATAAATGGAGTTATACAAATACCAACAAAAATGCTGTCCGTGGCGGACACAATGAACAGAAAATCACCTTTCGTGTCATATCCGCCTGCGGCTTTCACGTTCTCCTCCTAAACGTTCAGATTTGAAGCGGAACATAGGTCCAACAGAACAAACGGGTTGTTGCAGTTGGAATCCACTGTCAGTGTACTACATCCTCCTGTGTAGATGGCAACTCAGGGAAGGGTAATTCGGGGGTAAATGGATGCGTTCACTAAGTCCTACTTCCATAACATACGGATAAAGTAGTTGGGGGTTTAAAGCCCAAAGCCTACGTAAGTTAAATGGTAGATGCTATTCGTTTATTTGCCTCTGCTAGTGACTGAAGCCTTTTACGTTATCCTGAATTTACCTAAAAGTGGTCCAATCGAGCACTTTGGATGACAAGCCGGTAAAAAGTAGGCGAATTTCAAAAGTGCCAATTCGCTTTAATAACTAAGTCATGGTTTCCATGCGAACCTTAAACGTCATATTTATTTTTCCGCAGAATGTCCCCCATAACGACTGACCCAATTTGTGATTCAACTTTAAACATGCACACGACTTGTAGATATTTATTCATAACAAATATGTATATATATGCTAGCATACCGTGTATATTACACCCTATCAACAAATACGTCGGCTAAGTCAAGAATGGGGCGGAGTTGTACGTAAATAAGGCAAGTAGCGTATAGGTGATACAGAAATAATCCCTAAATAGTTCGAAAATAGCGTGGGTAGCGCCGAGATGAGGCAGAAATGTCCGCAAATAAGGCTGGTAGTGTGGGAATTATCAATAAGTAGAGTGGGATGAAAGCTTCGTCTACGTACTCAGGCTTAGATTATGCTGCAGTTGCGCAAATCATGCTGGTAGTCCGTAAAAATCAGTTAAATTTCTCATTCCAGCATTATTTTCGCTTTTGTGACCAAGACATTAGCCCGCATTATTTACCTGCCATCCTCCCCTCTATCTTCGAAGGAGATAGACAGAACCCTAACCCTAACCATAAAAAATTTTACTAAAGATGCCAAAATTTATGGCAAGCGCGATAGATGACCACAGCAAGGAATATGTGGACGCAAAGCAGGCACTTAATGACGCTCAGTACAGCTTCCAAAAGTGTAGGTCGTGTGTCTCCAATCTCCTGACAGCCCATAAACACTAAACAGCGTGCTGGAACCTCACGGTCGCTGTCTGCGTTGATTTAGCCAAATCCTTTGAGACAAGCTCGCACACCATCCTAATGCTCAAAATAGCTGATTTGAGTATCCAAGTTATGGTGGGCAGGAACGTGCGAAACGGAATCACATGCACTACAGAACCACCTTGAAACACTAAAGAAGTGGGTGAAAGATAGTGAATTGGGATTTAACCTGGAGAAACGCTGGTCCACATTCTTCCGCTCCCCTGATCCACAGGAAACGTCATCGCTGCACCTGGTTCACATCTTTCTGATATCGCAGCAGAGAAAGAACTGGATTGACTGGCAATGGAGAGAGTGAACACTGGTGGCAACCACTGAGGAGATGCTGTCGCATCACATGCCCCTAGAATTAGCGGCTCAGTGTTCGACGAGGTAACTCATTGATGCTGGTCATCAGACTTTAATTGGGCTCGCTAAGTTGAATCCACACTGCAAGCGTCCGCCCCATTTGGCACCCTGTCGTGACACATTGCATTGTTCGTAATCCACCCTCTGGCCAGCTAATCGGAAGGCCTCGGTGTTTTGGCACGATCTCTCAAACGTAATACCCCATCTGATCAGGCTACCGTGTTCTTTCTTGGTCCCATATTCGCGGATATATTGCAAATAAGAATAAATAGCGACTGACCTCGGCGTCTATCAAGTTTGCACAGTGACAATTTCTACAATTCTTCAAAAGCATACGACATACTGCACTTTGTGTGCAGAAAAGTAGGTGCCTTCACCCCATAGCTCTCGCTGAAACCCTACAGGACGTAAATACCGCTCCAATTGCAGGTCCACAACTTCTCCACCCTGCCACGTGAAAAGAGAAACGAACCCCCTGGAGAAAGTTTAGAGGAGGGCTGCAAAAGAGGTCACAGAGACGCCCTGAAACTTTACGAGGACAGACTATAAGACCTAAGCGCTCTTCATCACAGCTGCTGAAAGTTATGAGGTGATTTGATAACGGCTTACGGAATACTTAATAACTCAAATTACCCGGACAGAGGAATACCACCAAGTGGTCATCATGGCGATCCTCTAGGAAACCCAAAGAGAATCGCCCACTAAAGGTCATAAACTGATGTACGTTCACATTTCTTCTTTCTCCACCCTATCGGTTGAAAGTTTCAGGAAAAGGCCAGACAGTTATGCAGGGACCCATGCTGTAAGATCAGTGAGCGTCCAAATTCTCGATGCCCGCCATGGTTTTTCAGTTTGGTTTTGTCAACGTCCGAAGGGAATTGGAGGATGACGAGGTTGTTTGTGCAGTTCGGATAGACCTAAGTGGATTGTTGGCCCGGTAGGTGAATAGGTGACGCCTGTCAATGCGGATAAATATGTGACGATGTACATGTGGCACATAAGTGGCACACTTACGCAACGGTGGGCTCCCCTATCCTCATTATTGCTTGAAATTGATATAAGAATTACTGTATGTTATGATTTGAAGACCGCAAAACACTGTCGATGGGTCTCAGCGTAGAGTTTTAGGAAATTTCGGGTTTTACGCAGAACATTTATAAAAATAAGCGGTAATATTTTCACCATCCTATCCGCTTCCTTAGTTGGGCCTGAACTAGGAAACTGTATACAGATGACACATCCTTGTTCAGAAGCAGACTCATACCTTCTCGAAAAAGACGGATGGTAACTAATCGCCTAATAGTTGTGATGGTCGGACTGATCGATGTTGATCGAACTAAGGAGCTGCATATCTCCGTATCTCATGGTAGATGGAGATCTTATGGGGTTAAACGGGACCACAAGTGACTTTGGACGTGATCTATCTCCCTCTTTTATTCCCGGTAAATGTGAACACCTCGGGAGATATAGAACAAGAATACAGCAGCGAAGGACGAAAGTAGTCTTCGAAAGGGAACTAGTTCTCATGTGAAGTGAGTAATTCCTAAAATCAACTTCCAGAAGAAGCGATATTTTCTTCATGAGTTGACTCATTCAAAAGAAGACTAGACAAGCGCAGACACCAGCCAGGAAGAAGATTAGTGTAGGCTCATAGCCTTCTATCCTCAAAATACAAATCTGAATCCTAAGATTCTAATACAGAAATACTACAGTGTTAAAAGTTGTGTTTCAAAATAGCCCACTTAATTTTTACTGAAATCTGGTATCAAAAACTTCTTCAATTATGATCTTCTGTATAAATGGCTTATTTACGATGCAGTGGATATTGAGGAAATGTCAGAAATTTTATCAGTTGCGTTACATTTCTGCCTATGCCTAATAACTGCAAAAGTATACGTAGATAACACACGACTATAAGAGTAAGTTATTTTTTAAAGTCCTCTCACCTTTGTAAAAGCCGTATATATGATGAGAACATGTATGTTACTAATTTTTATAGACACGTATTAATTTGTATATATATATATATATATATATATATATATATATATATATATATATATATTCCCCAACTGTACACTTCGCCTACTGTGGACTATTTTCGATGTTGTAACTGCTTGCAACTTTGTGGTGTGGTAAAGATGGTCCTGAGTTAATTATTTGTTGTTCACTGCGAAAGTGGTTTTACGGTTTCATCTAAAAACGTATAAGATATACAAATATATGCTTGATAAACGTATAAACTTTGGTGATCCTATGTGAATGATAAATTACCATGAACGAAAATCAGTTATTTCTGCATTGTTTTTTTTTTTTACTGTATCTATGCATGAATATAGCTTTTAACACTGTTTAGAAACTCAACAACACTTCAAATTTCCGCGTTGTAAAAGTAGTGGTCGACGGTTTATTTGGTTCTGGGTCTTTCTTAGGGTACTTTTTTTCTTAGCAACTCACTTTTCAGTTTTCTAGTGGACGTGAAATGGCTGAGGTCATTTGTTATTAGTGAGTCAGGTAGCTGTATTCTGTATTCTGTAAAGTGACAAAAGGCTTCTTAACTTTATCTCAGCTTTAACAAAGGACACTAATTGTGTACCTGTTCTCCTTTTGAAAGCCTCAGGATAAGAGGCTACAACGTCTCCAGGATGGACTTTCCACAGTTTACATGCTCTAACTATAAATGAACTAACACGGATCTTCGTACGTCTTCTCATGTTGCTCTCTTAAAGATAGTCGAGCTTTCTGATCAAAGGTCAGGAGAAATTTGTTGCGATGAATTAAGCGATGATCGATCTGATCATAACTTCTCTTATCTTCCAGTATTATGCCGTTTGGAGCTCACGAGCACTTAACCGATCCAGGTTAGGTTTGCACCTCACATCAGTCACTTTTTCCGAAATTATCTGATTCAGTTTCCGAATGGCAGTATTCTTCAAGTGTGACTATAACTACCGTGTTCTGCTGATGAGGACGAATATATTGTCCGCATACTGCCGTGAAAACGGCTGAAGTTTAACTCCATAGAGTTCAAGAAAGAAGCCTCATGACTGAATAAGCCGTGTTGACTGAAAGACAGAATTAAACAGTAGCTTTATACGTGTCGCATATGGTAACCCATAGATCTTTTTCACTAAGTGGCAGATATTGAGTCCCCTCAGAGCGTAAGAAGTGAAATTACACCTATATTTTATACAGCGTTTCTCTATGTTGAGAAGTAACCTCATCTGGTTAACTAGATCACTAGTTACTTGCCAGTCCTAACCCGGATAAAGAGCGAAGGTTGGGCATAGGCCTAGCAACCCTACCACGCGAAACCAATCCAATCGCTAAAGAAACTTCTAAGCACAAAGAAAATATCAAACATAAAAACAAACTTATTCCCCGCTGGAATCGGAGAGACGAAGTCACAATCATTCAATTCTACTCGCCAACAAACAATGCAGATCAAGAGAAGAAAGAGGAATTCCATAGACAGCTGCAATCAGTAATGGACAAGACTCTAGTTGGCCACATCAAAATTCTAATGGGTGACATGAATGCCAAACTTGGAGTGGACAATACAAGAAGAGAAATCATCATGGATGGAGAAACACTCGGTGGAATGATGAATGAGAATGAAGAACTGTTTGCAGACTTCTACACATTCAACGACTTGTGTACAAACACAAGGATATTCACAAGGTAGCGACATGGATTTCACCAGACACCAGGACACACTATACTAAAAATCAGATCGACTTCATCTGAATGTGAAGAAAGTAGAGATGTAGCCTACTGGACACAAGATCAGGAAGAAAAGCAGATGTAGGTTCACACCACTAACTGTCTGGTGCAAGGAAACTGCCTTCAAAATCAAGTTGAAAGCCTTCACAGAAGTTGGTGATAGACCACAGTTCAAGTTCAATACCCAGAAACTGAAGGACAAAACTACAAGGGACATCTTCACGCCAGTCAGCCATCAGAAGAAAATGGGAGACGTTGAGCAACATCTCTGAAGGATCGAGCGTGGAAGAACACCGAAACTCTTTGAGAGCTATGTGGAAGGAAACCCGCATAACCGTATTAGGATGGAAAAACAAGGAAGATAAAGAATGGATCTCGACGGACACATGGAAGCTGATAGAGAGGAGGATGGTGAAACAGATGAACCAGGGAAAGGATGCACAACGAAAAGAAGAACTGAATACAACGTATAAAACACTGGACAAAGAAGTGATGAAGAGTGCAGGCAAAGACAAAAGACACTCCTACGACACACTTCCAAGTGAAGCAGAACAGGCTGTAGGAGGGACCTGACAACATTGAATCAAATAACCAGGTTACTATCCGGGAAGAGATCAAGGCAGAGGAGACCAATGAAAGATGGTGAAGGAAAGCTGGTTACCAAAGAGGAGAAACAAAGGAAACAATGGGCTGACCACTTCAAAAATCTCTTGAATCGACCACCACCACCACCACCTGCAACTCGTTAAGAAATACCACCAGCAACGTCAGAACTACCAGTGAACACTCGACCTCCAACAAAAGCAGAAGTCGTGAATGCCATAAAACTGCTGAAATCCATGAAGGCAACATGACCAGATGGAATTCCACCAGAAGCACTGAAAACAGACACAGAGACAACGGCGGATATGCTCACATCACTACTGCAGAAGGTCTGGAAAAGAAGAAGGAAAGGTATGTGCCCATTGATTGGGAGAAGGGCTACCTTATCAAGCTCCCAAAGAATGGAGACCTGAGTGTTTGCAAGAACTGTCGCGTAATCATGCTCCTGTCCATCTCGAGCAGAATATTAAGCCACATCATCCTGGAGAGACTAAAAAATGCACTGGATTCGAAATTACTACCGAAACAGGCTGGCTGGATTCAGGAAGAAAAAATCATGTGCGGATCAAATTGAAACGCTATACATCATCATAGAACAGAGTATAGAATGGCAATCAACTCTCTACCTCAACTTCTTCGGCTTTGAAAGGGCCTTCGACAGCGTCGACCGAGAAGTAATTTGGCAACTGCTACAGCACTTTGGAATACCACAAACCTTTATCAACCTCGTTCAACAACTATATGAAGACGCCACATGACAAGTAATTCACAATGAGAAGCTCAGTGATGCTTTTGATTTGAAGGCAGGGGACAGGAGTAAAACAAGGCTGTCTACTATCACCCATGATATTCCTGATTGTGGTGGACTGGATCATGCAGCGAACCGTGAGGAGTGAGAAGAGTGGCATACGTTTGACCGATGAAAAAATCTAGAAGATTTGGATTTCGCCGATGATTTATGCCTAATGTCACACAAACTTGAAGATCTACAGGCAAAAACTAAGAAGTTGACAGATGTTGCAGCGAAGGATGATGGGACTTCAAGTGAGTGTGGAGAAGACGGAGGTGATGAAGATATCCAACCAACAACAGCATCAACAATAAGCATCAATCACCAATAACGGGAGAAACCTAAAAGAAGTAGTCTCCCTTACCTACCTAGAAAGGGTAGCATCGTTTCAGCTACAGGTAGTTCAGACGAGGATATCGAAACTAGGATCGGGAAAGCAAGTCAGGCTTTCACTAATCTGAAATCGGTATGTAGATCTACTGCACTCAGCATAAAGGTTGAACAAGATCCGGATTTTCAACACCGATGTCAGTCAAGTCAGTGCTACTATATGCTTCAGAAACATTGCGTGTCACGAAAAGCACTACCAGCAAACTGCAGACATTCATCAACAGCTGCCACCTATGCTTGCTCGATAGTGAAGACCGATCAGATGGCCAGAATAATAAAATTAAGCTACTAGGAACTCTGGTCGGGCAACGAATCAACGAAGAACCTACCACCTAACAGATATGCAGAAGAAAGTGGAGATAGATTGGGCATACTCTGAGAAGTGCGACTGGGGACATCATGCGACAGGCCCTCGAGTTGGATCCAAAGGGGAAACGACGAGTTGGGTGTCCGAGGCGGGGGTGACATGGAGAAGATGATGTGAGGAATAAATGAAAGCTTGTGGGCAGTCGTTGAGCGAGGTTCAAAAGACTGCAGAGAACGAGTGGGATAGAGGCGTGCTACTGAAGTGGTATGTTCCACTAGAAACCCAAGGGAAAAAAAATAATAATAATAATGTTGAGAGGTAGCAGGTTTTCACTTGTTCACTTTTTGATTTTAGGAATACCCTACTGAACGACCAAGGTAGCAGTTAGCCCTTATGTTTACCTCTAAATCTCCAGACCTTCAGAATATATTTATGAATGAGAATTTAGGGTTTCTCGTAAGTCACTGATAAAAGCGAAAAACAATAGTGAACCAACATTGAAACCTTTAGTATCCAACTCAGCATTGGGAACCAATTAGAGGAGGAGGAGCCGATTCTAATTGGTCTTAACCGTGTTAAGGTAATCCCTAAACCAACTGAGTAACTTCATGTACCTCCATAAACCTGAGTTTTCAAAAAAGGATATCATGAATAACTCTGTCAATGGCCTTAGCAAAGTCAAGTAACCCAATATAGGTGGACGCTTTTTACTCAACAGAGAGTGTAACTATTCCATGCAACCAACAGATTGGTGTTACATAACCTTTCAGGCAAAAGCTCGTGTTAACAGTCATTTGGGATTGAGTTTATTAGTAAATAATCATAAGACTAATCATTTCTTACTCTTCCAATAACCTCAACTGAAGAGACCAGGGAGATTGGTCTGTAGTTAGAGGCCACTAGTTCACTGCCACCCTTTTATACTGGGACGACAGTCACTCGTTTGCAATCAGAGGGCAACCTACCTTATAGAAATAAGTATATGAAGAGGTTCACTTGTAGAAAAATTTTATAAGAAGCGTTGAAAATATCACCATGCTTTTTCAGTGCGTATGTGAAATGGTTTTTAGTGTCTGAAGTCGGATTACATAAGACAAAGATATTGC